GGGGTATATTTTTTTATTAAAAGAAAAACAAGTTACATCAGGTGCATGTGCAAAAATCTTATTTCGTGCTGGGGAGGAGGGGGGCTAGGTTCCAACTTTTTTCTGTGCCAAATTTTACTCATACACTACTAGATTACCCTTATTTTACTATACAACACAAAAAGGGGGAAGGGGCGATCTTTCAATGAACATTTTCAATGGCTCAATGTAAAGAGTATGTTTGGACTTCCCTTCGCCCATGTTCAATTACATGCCTGTATGCATTTCTTCCCAAGAATATCCATGGTTAGAATTCTTATGACATCCAGTGCCTCACGCAGATGCACAACGTGCATAGTAAGATGTAACCTGTAAACAGAATAAAATTTAATCTCACTTAACCTGAGAGAGTTGCGGTGTAAGGAGTTGATCCTTACATCTCAGTCTTGTTCGAATCCCACTGTGGGACATGGAGACCGGTCCTTCGGATGAAATTGTATAAAATGAGGTCCCGTGTCGCAGTTGGTGGTGGCACGAAAAAGATCCCTCATTGCTCAATGGCCCTAAGTATCGAGAATAGAACACAATTTGTAGCTCTCCACCAGCAATTGGTGGCCTCTCCATATGAGTCAAAGATTCTCGAGAGGGACGTTAAATAATATACAATCAATTAATCTTAACCTATCAGAGAGAGAGAGAGAGAGTTTTTTCTCTGTCATAATGATTTTAAGACGTCTTAACTTAGGAAAATCGAGAGAGAGAGAGAGTTTAAATGGGTTTTTCCGGGAAACCAATGATTTAGTCTTTGGGGGGAGAGGGCTCCTCCAGATTTGCCTACTTCCTTCCGATTTTTTCGCTGCATTCCGTTTCATTCATGTAAATTGGCACACTTTTCATCTTTCAAGAATTCTGAATGATCAAATGGCACTCTGTTTGATTTTAAATGTAGCCAATGTTACAGTATATCGTCGAATTTATATGATTAATAATTAAAAATAAATAATTCATATTTATAAATTAAATAGAAACTCAAATTCCTTTTTTTTAATTTATACTCTTTTAAATATTTCCATAATGATGACATAACGTGTAGCATTATATTTTTATTTGTATGTCCTCTATATAAACAACTAAGAAATGAATTTTGTACACTTTTTAATAATACATGTATATCTTATGAAATTCTTAATCCAGCAGATGTTAATTCTACAAGAAATATTTGTAACTTCATACGTGATGCATGTAATATAAGAAAATCTATGTGACTATATATTTTATATTTGTTTACTGTATGTATGACTTGCGCCACATGTGGTTTTTGTCAAATTGAATAAATAAAATAAAAAATAAAAAAAATATAGCAAAAAATTGCAACTCTCTTATCCTTGACAATGGTTAAAAGTTTAGAGTATTTCTATGTCATAATGATTTAAGACGTCTTATCTTAGGATGATCATAAGATAGCTTTGAAAAACACCTTAAGATAATCTTACGATGATCCTAAGATTTTCTTAAGATATATCTTAGGAAATTTCTTATGAACAATCTTAGGAAAGTTTCGTAAACATGCCTGCACCTATAGGACCGGGCTTGGTTTTTTTCCCTACAAAAAGCTTGTCGATTTCCGTTCCGGTTAATGACATTAGGCTAAATACATATAATAATTTGTTTTTCCTGAATTTTTATTTCAGTTAGTAGAGGTAGGAGGAACCCTTTCATTCATTTTCTGAGTTTGTAATCCCCATATGTACTAACTGATATTTGTCTTTACTTCTCATGGTTCATAAAGGTAGTGTCTACTGTCTCTGAAATTCTGTTTTCATGTCTAGGCTATTTATCCGTGGATATAAATATAATAAAACATGCCATTAATGTGTACAAATTATATAGGCCTGGCCTAAATGAAATCCAAGGGAGTGCATTTACTGAAATATGTAGCCAAAATCAATGTGATTTAATTATGAGGAATATATACAATTGAAATTCATCGCAGCTCAATGCTGCCAAGAATACCTGTATTGAGGAACACAGAGTGAGTTATTCTTGTCCTCGAAGAAAGTGTGCTTATACTGAGGTTCGTTCCGCCTGACTGAGAACTGTACATTTGTTTGATTGTTACGATTTGATATCTCTTTTAGTGTTTCTTATATATCAAGAATGGGCATGCATAAAGGATAGATAATTGAAGGAAAAATACACAAATCTATATAAAAAATCTAAGTAGTCTTTAAAAAGGCGAAATTTAAAAGTGTTGTACCAGGTGGATTCGAACCCCCGACTTTAAAAAGAAAGTGTCCAAGGTGCAAAAGTCAGCGCTTCTATCAACTGAGCTAGTCTGACTATAACAATATTAAAGTGGCATAAATTTCAAGCAGGTGATGAAAATCAGCAGGCATGTTCATGAAACTTTCCTAAGATTTGTCCTAAGACTATTCCTAAGATATGACTTAGGAAGAAACTTAGGAACATCCTAAGATCAACTTAGGACATATCATAACACACCTCCTAACCTCATTAGCATAATTCGGAAGAATTCGGAGATAAATGTAATAAAATATGAACAAATTCCGTAAACGCCCGAACAGCTCTCCTCGCGAGAATTCAGCGAGACCAACATGCTACAGGTGAAAATCGAGAGAGAAATTCAACATGAAAAAAGAGGTAAAACTTTATGTTATCACGATTTATAAATTTTTTAAATTGCAAAAAGTTGAAAAACAAACGTTTCTTTACCTGAAAAGTGAAAGTAGGTTTGCAATTTCTTATTCTGTCAAGTGCTATTGCTCTTTTAAGTGTCAAAACAGCACCTCTCGATTTTGTAAACATGTTTCCACGTGAAAGGGAGTAGTCGTGTCAGTCGAGATTAACCCACACCATACATTGATTTAGTAACAAAAACACTCGTAAGTAGAATTTTATTTATTTTTTCGATTACCTGTTGCAGAAAATGGCTAATATAATTTAGAGCATGTTTGTAAAATGCTGTTAATAACATGTCTTAAATTGAACTGTTGAAGAGGTGTGCTATAGTTCGTTCCAACTTGTATGGTAGTTTACTATGCATGCATATGCAGAGTTACGCATATAAAAGTCATTATTCTTACTTATCAATACCCAGTGATTTGTGAGAACCATATGTGTTTTTTTTAAATACCAAGAGACTAAAATTTAATTCTATCCGTACCCGTTTGTATGCACAAAAAGTTCTTCCGAATTTCCTCTACACATATACACGTGTACCTGGATAAAGGATTAAAGGTTTGTTTACATTTGTTTGCAGTTTTAATAGTGTCAGCTGTTTATATCAATCATGCAGTTTTCACTAGAGCCTACTGATCAAAATTTGGTTGTTACTTTTCTAATTTACATGTAATATGTGTAATATCATAGAATGATGTCAATGCAGTTCTTACATACTTGTGTATATATCAGGTATGAAACTTCACATATGCAGTTGTCGCCCGTGTGGCGCAGTGATAAGAGGGTCTGCTCTAGAGTCGGGAAGGAAGGAGTCGATCCTTATGTCGCGAGTTCGAATCCCACTGTGGGACATGGAGACCGGTCCTTCGATGAGACCTTATAAACTGAGGCCCCATGTCACTGTAGGTCCTTGCACAAAAAAGATCCCTTCCTGCTCAAACATGTCAAAGGCCCTCAGTGCCGAGCATAGGAAAAAATCGTAGCCCTCCATGGGCAAGTGGTGGTGTCTCCATATGAGTGAAAATTTCTTGAGAGGAACATAATTAATAAACAACATACAATCAATCTTTCACATGTGCAGTTTATGAAAATTTTTAAATATTTCTATGTGTACCACTATTTTCCCTTTTAAAAGTTTATTGCCTATCTAAAAGTAGCTAATGAGATAGTATAAATATTATAAAACTAAAGGTGTTGTGAGCAATCATCAGAGCTCTGACACTGAATGATACCCACCACTTCTCATATGAATATACTGAATGTGTCCATGTTTTGCTATGGGAAACCCAAATATGTGGCAGATCATAAAATAAAATAGAAGATGCACAATTGAAATATGTAATAAAGATTCTGTAAAAGTCGTCAAATATCACTCAGTTGTTTGAGAGGAATTAACGGATAAGAGATGGGTACACCAAAGCATAACAGACCGACGGACATACCGCTTACTTAACATACCCTCCCGCTTTTCAAGTGGGGGGTATAATAAATTACATGCATGCATCAATCTGTGTAATGAAAAGATATTGCTTAAGATAATTAACATTGATGTTTTGCATTTTTGTTTGTAAGAATACATGTATTTAATTTATATACATATTGTTTAATTATTTCAATGTGTTAAATGAAAAGTAATTTCTTTTTTGTTTGTCTATTGCAGGTTAGAGTACATTTTGAACAGCCATCTCCAGGTATGACAAAAATAACACAATTGACCCTGTAAGGTAATAAACAAACATTATTGAATTTAGAATATGTATATGATTAAGCACAAATGTGAAATCATTGTAGGCCCACGCTAAAAATAGTTTTCTTTCACTGCTCACTGTTTGTTTTTTTCATTAAAATAAAACAAAAAAAGCAAATACAAAAAAGAAAATCAAATCAATTCAATTATAATTTGCAATGAATGTTTCTTGCAGGATATACTCTAAAGACAGTGACGTGCAAGTTCAAGGTTTGACTGTGAGTATTGTATATGTAACTGTAAGGATAAATTAATAACATATTTAATTTGCAACATTATTATTTAATTATTATCATTCTGACCATGCTGGTTGGAGTAAACAAAGAAAAAATATTAAGCATGCCCAAGTACTCAAATATCTACATGTACATGTATATCAATGTATAAAAGAATCCTGTGTAAAGTTATATATAGTTACACAGAGAGAGAGAGAGAGAGAGAGAGAGAGAGAGAGAGAGAGAGAAAGAGAGAAAAGGGTCAATATAATTGAAAATCATGCATCAGTGATTTTTGTTTTTGTTTAATTCTCAAAAGATTTAATCACATTCTGTTCTATTTTCAGCAGATACTTTAATAATAAAGAATGGGTCAAAGAATTCTCACTTCATGCTGCATAACAGTACATGTAAGTTCAAAGGCAGAAGAAAATCCATTAAAAGAGAATTTATAAATACAGTTTGTTGTCTGTTTCAGCAAACAATTTATTGAACTGAAAAATATGGTGATACATAAATCAGCATATTATGCAAACTGTAAATGATTGCATTACATATTTCTCTGATTCGCATGTAGTGCATTGATATTTGTCAGTATTTTTCATTCAGTTTTTTCTCACATAATTGCAAATGCTTGTATTTTATTTGGATTAATTAAATCTAGAGGATTGTATTAAAAATTATTAATCATATTTGTAGTTCAGTTGTAACAAAACAAATTATCTGATGAAAGCTTCAACCACAGGAACATGAGGAATCTAGGAAAGGATGTCAAGTCCAAAGAGAAGGTATGTTGATTACTGGTGATGATATGTTATTGATGTAAATAGAGTACAACAATAAAATAGAGAGAACAATAGTAATCCAGACAAAAAAATTAATCTTAATTCTTTTCAAGAATAGGCAGGTCATGATAAGTCACTCTGAGATAGTTAAGAGCAGATTTAGATTTGTTCAGATCATATACATGTAGCTATAGGGTAGGGTGGGTCCACAGTGGGGGATCAAAGTTTTATTCTGGAATATTTAAGGCTGAAGCCTTTTATTATGAAATCTATTCAAGATTATCAGGGTCACAATACATCATATTTTTTGAACGAATACATCCTAGTACAGAATCAAGGGTAATGGATGTGCCATAATTAGAAACAGAATCTTTATCTAGAAAGTCCTATGTAAATATTTGAAAATCATTTTGTTTATTTCTTGGTTTTTAAGTTAAGTAGAGATAAAAATAATATAAGTTTTCATAATTTAAATTCCTGTTTTATGGAGACTTTATTTGATATCTATGTAAGGTCAAAAAGATACAATTTTCAGAAAGAAAGCAATATTTTGGGGTTATAGAAAAGGGGCATAACTCTCGAGCTCATCATGATAGTAAATGATGGATGTCAGATAATGTGAAAAACGTGCACTGTTGGAAAACAAATGAATACAGTGCAGTCTGAATAAGTACAGTTAAACAACAGTATATTAAAATCAAACAACTTTGACTACCTAGGGTATGTTGACTTTCATGCCACTATTACAGATTGAATGAATGATTTGCAAACACTTTGAATTGCATATGATTTACTTTTGTTAATTTACTTTGCTCATTTTGAGCATATTTCTTTCTCATGCAGATTATTAATGAACAATGATAGATTAATTGAATTAGCAACTGTAAATGGCATACATGTATATGAATTTTATATACTCTGTTTGAACTTTGGTATATTTCTTTGACACTGAGTGATATCATGAACACACTGAGATATCAAAGTCATTTTAAAGTCCCTTGAACGACATCTAATTACCATGAATCTCTTGAATATCTCAATTTTTTCAGCAGTCCCATAAGCTTTTCAAGATTGTTGATTTATTGATTCAATTAATTTATGATGAATTATAAAAATATCAATCATATACTTTAAATTTATGTTAATGCATTAACATTTTTTATTTTTCAGGCCATATAACAAATAATTGCTAAATTCATGAAGACTAGCTGGGATGATACAGTACTTTTCTACTCTTATGAACCATATTTAAACATAATTTGAGGATCCCTTTCTCAAAAAAAAAAAAGAATTTGCATATTCAAAGACTCTATAGTTTATTGTTTATTTGTACATTGTTTAACATTCTTCTTGAGAATTTTTCACTCATATGGGGATGTCAACATTTGCCAGTGGAGAGCTGTAACTTTTGTCCTTTATACTTGGCACACATGACTAATTGAGCAATGAGGGATCTTTTTGAAGCTAGCACCTACTGCAACACAGGACCTCTGTATATACAGTCTCATCTCTATGTCTGACTGTGCCATGCAGGTGACTTCATAGGTTACAAAATAATAAGATAAGACTGATGTTTTTAATTCAATTAGAGTAAAGAAAAAATGTTTGCAAAAAAGGGAGGTAATAGCTACATGTAGCTCTCACTGGTATTGCATACTTAAACTACATTTGTATATATTTTACATATTTTAATTACACATGTATTTTAAACCAGATCAGTACAGAAAGAAACACTTAGAAATTTTTACTATGAATTTTATTATAAGGTTTATTATAAGGTTGATATTCTTTAAAAAATGGAACTTTAATTTTTTTCAGTAAGAAGAAAAAATATTTAGAATTTTAATACATGTGCACTTAATTTTGTTTATTAACAAAATAGTCAAAACTTGGAGATCTTGTGAAGGGTATCTAAATATTGATTTATAATTTTTTCCTTCTTTTTTTTTAAACAGCATAATATTTATTATAACATATGCCTGTAATATACAACTTATTTGTTGTTGAACATTCCATTGTCTGTCTACATGTAGTGCTTAGTAAATTTCTTGTAAATACAAACATGATTGCATGCTATTTGTTGACTTTGTCTTCTTTTTTTTTCAATATGATATATAAATGGTGTGCATATCAGTTTAAATTATTTTTGTTGAATTCAGTTTAGCTGCAGATCTGTAGCTCTCCGAAAAAATATATTGATAGACCGGAGAGCTACAGTGCCACCCATTGAAAAAACTGTATATTTATTGCGCACAAAAAAGTGCGCTCGGATCTCGATTTATTTCTCCATGTTTTTAAATCTGTAATCTCAAAATATTACTAACCGTGTGTTCCTAACATATTCTTTCACTGTTTCCACGACCAAACATTCCTCATAATTGTTGTTAATAGTCCTCCTGACCCTGATATTGTAATCATCGAAAATTTCGCTTATTTATACTGCCATTTTGGTTTCCAAGATAATTCGGTCCAATATGCTTCGTTCAGATGTTAACTACGCGAGTACTTGATGGAGGAGAAAGGAATTTTTTGAAATATTCTATTTTTGCAATTGAGGTGAGAATGACGAATTAATCAAGAACCGAGCGCACTTTTTTGTGCGCAATAAATATACAGTTTTTTCAATTGGTGGCACTGTAGCTCTCCGGTCTATCAATATATTTTTTCGGAGAGCTACAGATCTGCAGCTAAATTCAGTTAACAGAAAAAAAATGATAACGGAATGTAATTATGTAGATAGATACCTTTCAGAAATATTTACATGTACTAGTAGCTGCAGATATGTAGCTTATGTGAAATCAGGTATACTTGAAAATCAATTTACCTGTATTTATTAAACAGAAATTAATGAACACATTCATATATCTATGCAGTATTTCATACTGAAAATACACTGTGTGTTAATGTTTTACTTATTCAATATAAAAATTGACCAGAAGTGATCTTTGTGGAATAAAATATATATATCTCACATTATTTTTTTCTTTTCCCCCAATGGCAATTTTATCCCAATTTAAATATATATAAATTGATAAAAGAAGCTGACTATACCATATATAAATCATGAGTTGTCTTTCCTTGTTTAGAGAAAATGAATGCTCCCTTGGGTTCATGACCCTGAATATTAATAAGGTTGGGAGGTGTGCATAAGATGTATCTCGACGGTGACTTAGGAACATCTTAAGTTAGGACATCCTAACTTACAATGAACAATTTTTTCTTAAACATTTATCGATAAATGTGTAATTTTGGAGACAATTTACGGGAAAGAAATTACATACATGTAACATTAGAAAAGGAAATCCATTTATATGTCCATGTGACCTCAGTATATTTTAATGTTTGCATTTTTTTTTTTTTTTTTATTTGATATTATAACATATTTAATACCGCTTGTAAATCGTATTGTAACAAACAAATTGTAATTAAGATTTATAGTTTAAAAAATAATAACCTCTGAGTGATCTACCTTGATGATGATTATGTTATGAAGTTTTATAAAAGTTTACTTAATTTTTTTGATAAATAAGCTGATTGAAAGTAAAATGAATTTTGTAGGACACTAAAAAAAGTATTAAATCAGGGAAAACACTAGTTTAAAGCCAACATTTTATTCTTGAATAATAAAACTCTCAACAGTTTAAATATTTGAATGACAATTTTTTTTAATTTTGTATGTTCTCCCAACCGGTTAATAAAAAAATAAGAACATGTCGATAGCTTCATTGTCTCATAATAGGGGGTGGATGGCTGGCCCCTCCTTATTTTCCGAAGACAAGTTTATTGGTATTAATCTATGATGGAAGTTTTGATAAATGACGAATATGTATATCGCAAAAAAGTCATGTTAGAATGATCATAGGTTGTACTGTATCTGTATCTATAGACCAATCATTAGCATATGAAAGAGGGGGTATTTGTTTCTATATTCGTACAATGTATTATGACATTTTAAACATAAGAAGGGGTGGGGTGGCGGTCATAATACAACGTTTGTGATGAATGTCTTTGACAGTCACATTACAACGGTCATGAAATGGGGGGGGGGGGCGAGAAAAAATTTAACTTACCTGAGAAAACTAGACAATCAAAAAAGGGAAAGAATATTGTCCAAACTAGAAAATCCTATTTTGGAGAGAGAGAGAGAGAGAGAGAGAGAGAGAGAGAGAGAGAGAGAGAGAGAGAGAGGGCGGGGTCTAGGTTTCAACTTCTTTCATAGCCCTTTTTTCATTCCAACATTACCCTCATTTAAATAACCTTATTTGTCTTCAATTACTTTGTATTTGATACGCAATGGCAGATCGACTGACAATAAAAGCCCCCCCCCCCCCCCACTTCGTCGCCCGAGGAGCGTTGTATTATATTTCTCCAACCAATACCGAAAATATTCATTATGATAATATCCAAAATTTGTATTAGGTAATATCCGGAACAGCACGTGCGAAATTTTTAGCATATATGAAAAGAGGCCTATGGGTAACACTTCTTGTTTAATTATTTGTGTAAATCATCAGCTCATACACGGACTGCTGAGAAACAAGAAATTACCGCTGATACTTGCAATGTCCAAAATCAAAAGCATCAAAACAAACTTTAAGTTAGGATGATCTTAGGACAGGTATTATGCTGTCCTAAAGTTAGGAAAAACTTAGGAAAGTTCTTAAATTTAGGAAAGCTTCGAGAAACTGACTTAAGACTAGGACATTTCCTAAGACGTTCTTAGGACACACCATAGTCCTAAGATAGCTTCATGAACATGCCTGCAGGTTTCCTTATTTTTTGTAGGTTTTTTGTGAATTTTGACCCCAGGGCAGGGGTGCCCCTAAAAAAACCTAATCTTAATTTATTCCTTACATCCTAACCTATCAAAATATCACAATTTTATTTAGGGGCAGGCCTGCCCTGAAGGACTTCGAGGCCAAAATTCATGCAAAAATCAATGCTTTTATGGACAAAATGGTGTTTCGGTCAACTTTGGAGGTTTATTGTAAAGTTGTAAATAATAAATTTGAGGTATCAAATACAAATTTGAAAAATTTAGACATATATACGGTAGAAAACAACAAATAAAGATTGATTTTTAAATGTCGTTTTTTCCGGGAAATTGTTCTCTCCTATAGGTCAATTCTTTTGTTAAAGCGAATACATCCTTTTAAAACTATATTGAAATGTTAATAATGCAAATCGCAAATCCCTCTCACTATTGTTACACTGGCAGTCGTAAGCAACAGATATTACACACAATTAAATTGTAGCCTATAATATGTATGTAAACATTTATTATATCTGAAAGATTTGAATATATATGTATACCTTGTTTATAATACATGTAATTGTCTGATGTGCCATATGGCATAAAGAAATAAAGAATTGAATCGAATCATATGATAAAACACCATATAATAAAACAATTATCGCTGGGGGTGGGGGGGTTCAGATCAATGCCATGACTCAACCACCTGTGAGCCGCGGAGTACAACATGCCCCAAGGGCTTGGTAATATACATATCTTTTTTCAAATTGCCTGATATATAAAATTTAAAGTACATTGTAGGACCCAATTCAAGAAAAGGAGTATTCTTATATGATACTGATAGTATTTTTTACCTGATAAATTAACGCCGCTTCGTTAATACAAATCCAAGCCTCAATACGCTCTTGAATTTTCACCTGTAGTGCTGTCACTAAGATATACACTTCCTACATTAATGAATTTTTAGAACATCAATAATGCAATCACGTGACAAAATTATATTCATGTAAACATATGTCTTCCTTCATCGATAAAGTATAACGCATTTAATGCAGTCATCCATTTTAAACGGGGTATTTCTGATTTGGAAAACACCAGTTTATGAAGAATATTAAAATGTTTTTTAATGTACGCAATTCTACTAACCACATAGGCCGTCAGTTCATGTCGATAAACAAAGAAATATAACTCCCCTAACAAAAACATACTACAGTTAAGTATAGTTTACTAAAGTCAACTATGGTAAATCAAAGTTTGAAAGTTGTCAGTCACTTTAATGAGTCAGTTTTCAAAGTTTTCACTCAAGTGTGAAAGTAATCACTATTAATAGTAAATCAAAGGTTTCATTGTGTCAATGTTACATGTAACATTATAGTAAAACAGTTTTCATAGTGAAAATCAAAGTTTTACCTAAAATGAATAATATTCCTGTTTAAATACTTAATATTTTTTATGAACGACAGGAAGGGTTAAAACTGTTAAAACAATTGGTTTTGTGATAAACATACTGAAATACAAAACAAACAGCTTCAAAAGAATAATTAACAGACATAAATGAAAAATAAACAGACACTGTTGCAACACGTACAATCACCATTGTAAAACCAACAGGAAAGAAAATTATTTATCACAGACTCCACATAAAAACAACAGTGAATTTAATGTTTCCTAATTATTTATTTCTTAAGTTTGGCATTTAATGGCCACGGCTGGTTCAAATCAATTTATGAAAAATACACGTGTACAGTGGGTGCCGACCCAATTGGTTTTTGGCACACCTCCAATAAAAGCAAGCAAACAATCAATCAATCAATCAAACAATCAATCAATCAATATTAACTGTACACATGTCAAAGTTTTACAGGATAAGACTGACGTTTAGCTTCAAAGTTCCTGCAGTTGCGTCAGCCTTATGCATCAATCAATATTCATCAATCAATGTTCAATACGATCAATTAATGTTCAATTCAATCAATGAATGTTCAATTCGATCAATAATATTCAATTGGATCAATCAATGTTCAAACAATATTCAACAAATCAATATTCAGTGTATTGTATGCTCATGTTAAGCCAATCAATATTCGAATAAATCAATCAATGTTCAATGTAAATTATGTACAAGTTCCTTGTATTCCATTCCAGAATTATCCACGCAATCATGTTCGAGTTGCGCCCTGTTAACAGCGGCGCAAGTCAAGATGATATGTGTTAAGCTAAATCCGCCAAACGTGCATAGATACTCATTAACTATGCACGCCGCCACCAATGTGGGGGTAGCTTAACACCCTACTCAAATATCCAGCCGTGACCACACCGATACAGGCTCATAATGAATACACATTTTTTTTGGAGTTTATAATAGTCGTGAGTCCACTTTTAAAATTTTCAAGGAACAGCTTATTACCAGGCGTAGAGAGGTGTACCCCGTCGGGGCGGTAATTGTCGGGACTATGATGGATATTTGACTGCTTAATGTACCCTCCATTGTGATGATATAAAACATGTTTTGCAATTGCGCTATTTACTCGCGCCCTACTTTTTTCGATATCGGGTCTCCCTTCACATTTCCAGGCTATCCTTGTTATCATTTGCGACCAAATTATCTTAGTGTGCGGAAGTATCATTTGAATTTTTTTCAAATCACGTTTTATCGCAACTATTAAAATTCAATGGTCTTTATACGGCCAAGGTCGTTTGCTCCACAATGTAATACCAAAAATTTTGGTGGATCAATGAACGTAAGTAAATGTTTTAAAAGTTTAAAGACACCATTCCAGCGCATTCCTCTTCGACCTTGCCACAATATTTTATGCCTGTCAAAATTAAGGTCAGATGTGAAACCTAATTCAATCGCAGCTAGGAAGGCCCATTGTATTAATGATGACCCGATGATCCAAATATCTTGATAATGTTCTGCAACGAAAAAGGGGATAGATTTTCAAGCTTTAATTCTTTTTGACTGCCGGGATCCTAATATATAGGCGATAACAATCTGCAGGCATGTTTACGAAGCTATCTTAGGACTAAGAAACATCTTAAGATATACTTACGACAATTCTTAAGACTAAGTGGGGTTTTCGAAAGTATCGTAACTTACGAAAGTTCTTAAGAATTATCATAAAGTTACGACAGCTTTAGACATATCTTAAGTCTATCGTAAGTAGAAATAGCTGCGTCCATGTTGTTGCTGGCTCGACGAAATCGTCTTAACAGACGTGACCGAGTATTTAGAGATATGGGAAGAATTCGAAAGACTGATTACTAGTATGTCGGGACCGTTAACGACAGCTGTAAAAACTAGAAGTACTGTGAGCAATGAGCTCACTAAATGATACCCCCCGCCTCCCATATGAATATAATGGCAGTGTCCATGTTTTGCTCTGAAAAATCCAAAATATATGTCAGATCAAAAAGTAAAATAGGAGGTGCACAATGGCAATATGTAATAAAGATTCTGAGAAAGTTTCATTAAATTTCCTTCAGTGGTATGGGAGGAGTTGCGGATAAGAGATGGGTACCCCAAAGCGTAACAGACGGACGGACGGACGTACGGACAGACGTACAGACGGACGGAAATACCGATTACTATATACCCTCCCGCTTTTCAAGCGGGGGGGGGGGGGGTATAATTATATGCCATTGTAATAGATTTCGTTAAATAAAATGTTTGATAACACTATTAATTTTTGTTGATGTGTTTATCAAAACAAATGTAATATTTACAGTTCAACTGATTAATGATATTGCGCACTATTTCATTTAAAAGAGGTATTTATTTATTTAAGCCCCCCCCCCCCCCCCCCGAAGCCTCAATGCTATCTAAAAAATTCATGGATTTTTTTGTATTGTGTATCTATCAGGTGGTTTCTACAGATGTCGAATTATTACACAGTTATGAATGTACTGCATTTACACATGACACGGACGTAGCATCGATTTTAAAGGGGGAGGGGGTAGAAAAAGAATCCAACCAACATAGAAAAACAATCCAACTTACATTTAAAAAAAAAAACTTGACTTCGAAAATTTTGTAGCTGGAAAATCCACAGACACCTGAAGTTACTTTATTTTTCTTTAAATAAATAAATATAATCCTACCTAATAATAATATATTTTTAGGTAGGGTATATTTTTTATTAAAAGAAAAATAAGTTACATCAGGTGCATGTGCAAAAATCTTATTTCGTGCTGGGGAGGAGGGGGGCTAGGTTCCAACTTTTTTCAGTGCCAAATTTTACTCATACACTACTAGATTACCCTTATTTTACTACACAACACAAAAAGGGGGAAGGGGCGATCTTTCAATGAACATTTTCAATGGCTCAATGTAAAGAGTATGTTTGGACCTCCCTTTCCACATGTTCAAGTACATGCCTTTCCAAGAATACCCATGGTTAGAAATTCTTATGACATTCAGTGCCTCACGCAGATGCACAACATACATAGTAAGAAGTAATCTGTAAACAGAATAAAATTTAATCTCACTTAACCTGAGAGAGTCGCGGTGTAAGGAGTTGATCCTTACGTCTCAGTCGTGTTCGAATCCCACTGTTGGACATGGAGACCGGTCCTTCGGATGAAATTGTATAAAATGAGGTCCCGTGTCGCAGTTGGTGGTGGCACGAAAAAGATCCCTCATTGCTCAATGGCCCTAAGTGTCGATAATAGGACACAATTTGTAGCTCTCCACCAGCAAGTGGTGGCCTCTCCATATGAGTGAAAGATTCTCGAGAGGGACGTTAAATAATATACAATCAATCAATCTTAACCTGTAAGAGAGAGAGAGAGAGTTTTTTCTCTGTCATAATGATTTAAGACGTCTTAACTTAGAAAATCGAGAGAGAGCTAGAGAGAGAGAGAGAGAGTTTAAATGGGTTATTCTGGGTGACCAATGATCTAGTCTTTGGGGGGAGAGTGCTTCTCCAGATTTGCCTACTTCCTTCCGATTTTGCGCTGCATTCCGTTTCACTCATGTAAATTGGCGCACTTTTCATCGTTCAAGAATTCTGAATGATCAAATGTCACTCTATTTGATTTTAAATGTAACCAATGTTACAGTATATCGTCGAATTTATATGATTAATAATTAAAAATAAATAGATACTCCAATTCCTTTTTTTTTAATTTATACTCTTAAATATTTCTATAATGATGACATAACGTGAAGCATTATATATAGCAAAAAATTGCAACTCTCTTATCCCTGACAATGGTTAAAAGTTTAGAGTATTTCTGTGTCATAATGATTTAAGACGTCTTATCTTAGGATGATCATAAGATACCTTTGAAAAACACCTTAAGATAATCTTACGATGGTCCTAAGATTTTCTTAAGATATATCTTAGGAAATTTCTTATGAACAATCTTAGGAAAGTTTCGTAAACATGCCTGCTGACTTCCACCTTCCTAATATTTTGATTGTTTCGTCATCAACACCCTGAGAATGAAAGTATGTAGCTGCTCCAATTCTAAAGGAGTGTGATTTATAGTTGCATCTAGATAAACTGAGAGGCATTTACTTAAGACGGAATTAAATTGATATCTAGTTAGCGGTTTACCGCCGAAATGACAAAATAATTGACCTGAAATGTTTGGTCTTTGTTGTAAATACTTGCGCATTAGTAATAACGGACAATAAGGACCGCTGATAGCAGGAATAATTAACTGTGTTCCTTTGCCGTACTGGTCAGTCTTTGACCTCCTAAGGTTGACTTCTAAGTAGGATGAATGCTCATTCATAACAAGATCGTTATTAAGTAATGCTACATTTGAATTTCTAGAGCCTACTGTAAATTCCCCGACTCGAAGAAAACCAAAAAAGGCCAAGGAAAACGCCGCAGAAAAGAGGCTCGCCTCATAACTCGATGTGCATACAACTGGTAATGTATTAATTAATTTATGGAGAAGCTGAATCGTTATTGGTAA